CAGTGGAACAATGTGAAATGGTAAGATCTGTTTTCAGCCTTAATAACTTACTGGAGAGGTGTTTCTCCTGTGTGGGTCCGCCGGTGAACCTCCAGGTGATTCTTACGCTTAAAGGATTTTCCACACGTCTCACAGATGAAATCTCTGACCCCTGTGAAAAGACTCTGTTACAGTTGGAGATTTATCACAATGGAATTCAGACATGACATGTGTGTTTTTGTGAGCCCACCTGAATGGATGATCATATGGCGATGCAGATGGTTTGACAGGTAGAACTTTTTCCCGCAGCCAGGATGGGGGCAAACCTTGGTCCTCCCTTTCCTGTGAACTAGGTTGACATGATTCTACACAGAGAGGGAAGAATGAAAGAGATGGTTATTTTAATCTTCAACTAAACCAAACGGAAGCTGAAATGTAAAGTATGAATGGAAAAGGTTGTTATTACCTGAAAGCTGCTTATAGCTACATAGACCTGACTGCAGCCCTCATATGGACAGTGGAACATCTTAAGCATCCCATCTGCCTCAATGATGGGACCTCGCCTGTTTCTCTTTGACCTGACACTGCAAAAACAGACGCTGCAGACTTAGTTCACAATAACAAGTGGTCAATAAGTGGAGTGGATCTCTGCTGAGCTGCTGTACTTCAAATCCTTCTCAATATGTGTGCATGTATGTGAACCACTGACCTGCTCAGACTCCGCTGCAGCTCTCTGTCACTGCCCAACTCCAAAGGGTCAACACTGGGCTGCAGCAGCTGTTTGTCACTCAAACCTGCAAAACAGAAACAGAGCAAAAACTGATTACAAAATGACTGACATGCAGGTATTGGCTGAATCAAAATGTCCACCCTCTGGAGTTGAGGACTGAGGACTGGGTACTAGAGGAATTTTATACTAGTCAAAGGTTACAGAAGGTTACAGTCTCCTCATTGCTCCACACAGATAATGTTCTCATCCTCTGATTTTGTCTCTCCAGTGGAAGCTTTGAGTGAGGTTTAAGTCACATGCTTCATGTATATCAAGATTTATTTGCCAAGTCTGTTTCTTTACACCATGTTTTTCCACCTCAGCCAAGCGTAATTTCTTAAAAACTTGTTTGCAATATTTGGATGATTGTGTTTCAAATTTTTCGCATTTCCACTCTTTTTTTGCAAAATAAAAACAGGTGGTTGGAAGGCCCTTTTTTTTACTATTTGTGTGCAATATAACCCTTAATATTAAATAAACATAAACATATAACTAAAATCTAGTAGTAGTTTTAGAAGTATTTAGTCACATCCATTCCACAAAGGAATGTTTTGCCCTTCTGGTTCCCTTTGCCATTCACTGGTGCCCCTGAGTGGGTTGATCTTTTCATAGCAAAATGATTAAATTATATTCAAGATTAATTTAACTGGGGCGCTCAGATAGCTCCTTGATCCGATATGTGGCCCTTTGCTGTGTGTCATCCCCTACATAAATAACTGCCCAGGTATTCATGACTGTGTATACTGTACATGCTTCTTACACAGTGGAATAGGCAAATTAACCCTGTGGCAACCAGTCATTTCAATTAATGATTTAACAGCTTGCAGCATTCGGAGGGTAGTGCAGAGAGAGCAATGGGTTTATTTAACAATGAAATTCAGCACTAACCAAACAGTTTTACTTTTTTGATGTCTAGCTATTTAAAAATGTGGGCTTTGTGCAGGATGTCCCATGTCGTGCAGCCAATCAGTGGCCTACAGTGTTTTCACGTCAAGTTTAGTATCAGCATAGCTCGCTCTGGAACCTTGACTGAGGTGGTACCAAAAAAAGTACCAGGTACCAGGCACTATCCATAATGGAAAATCAAAACAGAGAGGGTCGAGTTGAGTCAAGCTGTACAATGTTGGGATAAACAGTATTTGGCACTCCTACAACGGGTGGCACGCTAGGTGACCGCCTAGCTTCCCTGCACCTAAAAATGGCATCCACATACACACGTGGACTGACCCATCGTGTACCCACTGTCAGTAGCACCCACAAAAATGCAGAGCCAGTTCTGAATGTAGCGTACCCGTCATCGAGTCTTCATCCTCCGCTGTTCTGAGTTTCGAGTCAGACGTGCAGACTTGGTTATAGGTGACACCCCCGATGACAGTGCAGGTGACTTCCTCCACGTTTCCGCCGCCCATGTTGAGCTGGATACCCTCTGATGCCAGGGCCTCATAGCTGGGGCCAGTGATAATAATTAACTGGGGATGGAAAAAGATTTAAAAAAAACAACAGTAACTGTTGAGAAAAGAAAATAATAGTGAACTGCTTGGTTTGTACCAACATCTCTACAAGGGACTCAGTCACCTACCTGTGAGCCTTCCAAAGTGGTCCTCTGATCAGGAATCTCACAGCTGGTCACCACCGTCTGCAGAGTCTGAGGGTCAAACAGCTCACTCTGCTCTTGCATGGGTGGTGGGACCAACTGCTCCGCGTGAGCTCCCAGTGGGACTGAGCCACTCAGGCTCTGTGTTAGCACTGAGTCCTCGTCCGTCTTCTCCAGTTTATCAGCTAAGGATGCCGTCACGGTAACACACTCATAACTGTGCGGTATAGTCCTGATCTCTTCCTCTCCTCCGTCTCTGCCTTGCCTCAGGTCCTCTGCCTCCTCTGCCTCGTCTGCCTCATCCTCTGAGGGGATGGAGTGAAATGCAGCAGCGGGGGAGCCTTGCTGTCGCTCCATGACCATCTCCCAGACGGGAACATCCTTGGAAGAGGCCTCTATACTGGGCTGGTGGTTCGGAGTGTCAGCCTGTTCTATCGGGCTCATGGTTGTATGCTGTATCTCAGACACATCCACATTTTCTTCCACATCTACAGAAAAGAAGATGAAATGAATGAAAAGGGCATGTTGATCATCAAGGAAGTCAAGATGTATCAGCCACTGACCACCACATTTAACTGCTCAGGGTATTAACAATGAAAATGAATACCTCTAAATGAATCAAGGAATGAAATTATTATTCCGCACCTTTGAACTGTTTGGTCGCCTCCTTTCTCCTCTTCCTGTTCATAACACTTTTAGCCACAGGCTCATCAGTCTTTGCTGCGCTCTCTCCATCCTCCTCACCGTTCACTTCGTCTTCATGTTCAGAGTCACTCGCCTCCCTCGGTGGGGAGAAAAGGTATTGCACAAATGAGTGGTTAGAGTCACATTGCCAGATAGCAGCAGTGGAGAAGTTGGGCTGGGGCTCCAGGGCTCTGAGCTGGGGCTCATGAGGGCAGGAGTGGGAGTGCTCCTGGTACCAACAAACCAGGCTCTGGAGACTGGACACACGCTCTTTCCTGCCTGGGAAACAACAAAAGTCAGCTGAAAGGAAGATTGTAGATGAGCGAATAACTGAACTTCAAAAATATTTTGCTATCAGATTTGAATCCTTTGTTGATTTTTGTTGTATAAACAACTAAAATACACACACAATGTATATAAAACCTTTTCTGCCAAGAAGAGACAAAAATAAATAAATATTCTTTCTGAGTCAAAATGAAAAGATACTAAGTTATACCTTTCAGCTCTTACATTAACAGTTACCTTCATTGTCGATTAACTTGAGCTGATAATTTTGCCAGAAAGTGATAAAAAAATACATATTGCAATTTTTTTTAAGGTTCTTAGGTTACATAATGTTGTCACATAAAACAAAGAGGAGCAGCGAAACCTCACATTTTAGGTTGGAAATGAGTAATGTTTGTCATTTGTGCTTGAAAAGACACTTTCAAAATAGTTTTCTGTCGATTAACTAATTACCTAATCAACTGATAGTTTCTGCTCTAATAGATTATATATAGCATTTATCTTTTGTCATTCTTCATATTTGATGTATTTCTACTCTTTACCTTATATGTTTTGGCTGTCTAATACCATAAGAGTTACGGAGGCAGGATTAGTAGTTTGTGAAATGTAAACAATTGACTTATCATGCAGGTTGCCATTGAGACTACAGGTGTAGAAATTAGTATACCTACATGGAATCAGTTGACTGCTACCATTCAATTTTCTCTTTGTCAAATCATATAAACAACAGCAGCAAAGCAGCTGTCAGGCTTAAAGAGATCCAAAAACAGATTAATTTGACTGACAAACAACAACCTGGCGATTCTAACAGAACCAGCTATCACACTCCTCCCAAACCTTTGAGATTCACCTGCCAATGGCTTCACTCACCTTTTTTCTGTTTTACTGAGACTTCTGGAGCAATCTTCTTTCTGTAATGCAAAAACACGTTCATTTAGACATTCACTGGTCAGGTTAAGCAGAATAAAACACCTACTCCATGGACCTGAGAGAGCAGCTCATGATATTACAGTAGTACAATGTGCACGGTCTGGTTGGGGGACATTAGCTTACCCGCAGTATTTCTGCTGGTATTTGTCTCCATAGGTGGAGTTGAGCAGGATCAGATACTCTGCCAGTCCAGCATCACTCAGACTGGTCCGCCTGCGGAGCTCACTCCACAGCTTGTGCGATTCTCCCAGGTACACCCGCCTCACGTCGTACTTCTTTCGGGATTCAAGACGCCTCTGGGCTCGGTCGGAGTCTGTGAGCCTGGGTCGTCCTCTGCAACGTCTAAAAACACCTTTCCCTTGGTCCACAGCTTGGTCAGCGTCCAGAGGAACTTCCAACTCTGCCAGGCTATGCGCCATCTTGGCCACAGCAGCTGATGTTGTGATTACCCGGTATCCCGGAAGTTGTCAAGCCGGACCGGAAGCGCTGATACAGACGCCTTTTCCGCTTTTGTTCCCACACCACGGGGTTGTAAACTTCACCGAAACAGGGCCGTATACGGTTGTGTACATGTCTGTTAAAATACTGAGATAAATATACTCTGTGTACCCCGAGAACCGCAGCGGAACGATACAGTCCGCAAAGTGTTTTTCTCACACGGACCGCAATAAGCACGAACACCAATGTGCAACATGTAAACATACGCGGGAAACTTCAGCGTCAACACAACTATCACACGACATAACTAGAGAAAAACTGCATCATATTGTGAGTCATGACAGACATTTTGACGCTAGTGTTTCGGACTTTCATGTCACACACGGAGGTAAGGAAGGACCTCGCAGTCGCTCCTCCAGCACCGACAACCTGCGGCACGCTGCTGGTCGGAGACCCCGGGATCAGCCGCTCTGTGCTGCTGCTGGCGGCCGTCACAGCTGCCTCGGAGATGGGATTGAAAGTGATCTTCTTCACTCAAACACAAATCCAAAGCCTTCCAGTGTGTCTGCAGAAGTGTGTTCCCAGCCTGAGCCCACAAAGTCTAAAGGTGGAGATCACTTTCCTCTCAAACCGTGTGCTTGATTTCACCTCTTTCTCGTTATAAAGTGCTTGTAGTTTTAACTAATGGATGTATGTGTGGTTAATACGTCATTTAGTTGTACTTTATAGATTAGTATGTCATTTTTGAGACCAACAACTGGTTTGCCAAGTTGTGAAAACAGGACGTATAGGATGTTTGGACCACAGTCGATTTAACTACTCATTAACATTTACAGAACTGAAACCTTGATGTCTTATTGAGAAAACCCTTCATCATTTACTTATAATTTATATGTCTACTCGATGTCATATACAAAAGACAAAAACTCTTGGACACTTATTGATGTCTTGCATATGAATGACTCAGCAGCATTAACATGGTCAACAACCTGGCAACCCAAAACGTATTAATGGTCAGTAAATAATTTATCAATGAATAATAAAGCCATTAGTTTCACACTTTAGTCTTACGAGAAACTGGTCCCGTATTTTCTTTCTTGAAATACATCTTACTAATACAAGCATATATTTGTTTGTACATTACATATTATTTACATTATTTTGTATTTTCTGAAAAAATATATTTATGTCTAAGAAGTTAACAAAGTTCCTTATGCAACATTCACAGTGCAAGCCTCAATGCCCAATTCTGATTTATTGCTCAGATCAGATTTTTTGTTTTTGTTTTGCTTTTGGTATTTTTTCAGAATGTGGCTTTTATATATAATCAGATAACAGTGTGAACAGGTCACAGTCCTGAAGTGACCCGACAAATGTCGATCTAGAGAAACATAAAAGTCACATTAATTCTGATATGACCGTTCACACTGAGGTCACATTGTAATCTATAACAATCTATAAGCTCATAAAATAATCAGATTCCATGTGATTTGTGCCACAACTTGTGTCACACCATTATTTAAAAAAAAAAAAAACAGATCTGAGTCACCTATGAGCAAAAAGCGTGTGAACATACCGTACGTGGTGATTGTTTTGCAATGTGACCTCAGTGTGATCAGTCATATAGGTAGTTATGCAACTTTTATGTCACTCTACATTGACATTTGTCATATGGGTCAGTTAAGGACTGTGACCTGTTCACAATGGAATCTGCAATAGGACACATTTAAAAAATAATGTGAACAGCCAAACAAAAATCAGATATGAGCAATAAATAGTGTGAACGGAGAAAACAACTTCAACATTTTTAGATCATGGAACAACACACTTTTTGGCATTTTGCTTGATAAACAATTTGAACAATTAATCTATTGATAAAAGTGTTGACATTTAGTTGACTAGTTAACATTTCAGAACTTGTCCTATGACAGTATATCAGATGATGTTTGAGTCATTTTTCAAGACCTTTGTGGGTGTAGTTTATCAGGCCAACAGGTAAAATAAATTGTCAATTATTAAATAAGTTGATTGACAGAAAATTAACAAGTATTTTGATAAATTGTGTCAGCCATTGTTCAAGTAAAAATGCCAAACATTGCTGGTTCAAGCTATGTGAGTATTTGCTGATTTTGTCTTTAGTAAACTGAACATGTGATGGGGATTTTCCCTCTGTTCTTTGACATTTCTAAACAATTAACTGAATTTCTGACCAGCTACATTGATGCGTTCAGCTTCTGTCTGTATAATTCATTTATTCTTTTCTTTCTTTTTTCTTAAAGAAAATCAAGTTTTCCTATCCTAGAACAGTGGAGGAGCTGCTGCAGCAGGTGGCCAGCCTCCATGAGTCCAGCAACACATCTCCCATACCTCCCTCACTGATCATAGTTGACAGGCTGGAGGGCTACCTGTGTGGTCCTGAAGGTGGCACCCACAGTGGAGTTCACACAGGAGAACAGTCCTGTGCCGCACACCTGTCTGCACTGCTGTGTGACAGTGCTGCCTTTCTCACACAGCTTCTGAAACAACGCTCCTCAAGCTCGGCCCCCTGCCGTCTCATCGCCTCTTTCCAATCGGAAGTGGACGCTGGGCACTCCAGTGGGGAGGCCTCCTGCACAGATTCCATCCTTGATGTTCTTGATCGATATTTCCAGGTACGCTTCACTCTGGACCGAGACAGGAGCTACGAAGCTGCAGCAGCTGGACTACAGGAGGTGTGGCACATTTACCTTTCTGGGACAGGCATTACAGAGGCTTGTAGTACCAAAGACTGTGAGGACAGGCAAGATGTAGCCCAAGAGTGGCAGCTGTTAATTTTTCCTGATGGTTTAATGGAGTTTAAGTTGGTTTGAAAACGTTTGTATCAAAGACTTTAGTTTTCACCGAAGCTAGTTGCCTTATCACTGATGCAGCATGATGTCATCTGCTGCTCACCCTTTCAGATATCAGTTAACAGGACAGCAGTGGTTGTAGATGTACATTTATTGAGTTGAAATTTTAAATGGCATAAAACTTTGTCAAACACATGAATGAAATCTTACACAATGAAAAACTGTACATAGAAATTGAGGAATGGGACTACTGAGTAGTGGTTACCAACTTTTTTTGTTCAAGCCCCTTTAAAACTTGTGGTCCCCCAAAAGGTAAAAAAGAAAAAGGATCTCTCAATACACTGTACGTTAAAATAAACAAATATTTTGCACATAGCACATTCATTTCTTCTCTTCTTTCTTAGCCCCTTAATCATTTTGTGACCCTGTCACTTTTATCTTGCAACCCTTGGAGGGGTCCTGTCCCTCAGGTTGGAAACACTGGAGCGATTAACATGTGTGAGAAATTGGACTCAGGTGGCTGATATCACAGTTAAAGTATTTTACAAATCAATAAGAATATATCAAATATATATTTTGAAAAATAAACAATATCATTGTCAATACAGATATTATATCTGAAAATTTAAAAAAAATTAAATATCACTCAAAGGAAACTACTAATAAGGAAATTTGTATTAAAATATTAATTCATGCAAGAAGGAGATATTCACCTTTTGAGTGTGACAAATGTAAGATTTACAACAGATATATGTTGTATATTAGGAAAAAAAGCCAAAATAATATCCACAAATCATATTTGATAACTCATTATTTGCTTTTGTGAAAAACGTGTTAGAGACAGCCAGTTGGTTGTAGTTTGGGCATTAAACCTTTGTTTACTTTTTGTGTCACACATTTCTTTCTAAAATATAAGTCAACAGTGAATAGAAATGTTGTTGAGTAGTGACAGTTTCAGTTACAAGATATTTGCACTAAGACAAAAGCAAACAAGCATGAAGAACAGAAATTATTCAGTTTGATTTCTCAGCTGTGGTGAATTTAAATGTTTTGCATAGAACTGTCAAGGTTAAGACATGCTGTACACACTCTGCTCTTTAGATGGCAGCAGTGACTGAAAACAAGTTAGAGACTTACTAACAACTACAGTTACATGAGGAGTAATAATGTCTTAAAACCTTCATACAAAGCCTACAGTAGTAGTAATTTTATTTATTTTGTTCCAGGATTCTGTTGGCAACAACTTGTTAGTTTAATTGTCCTCTGAAACGGCTGTAATACTACAAAAAGCATCTTATACTATTTACAAATACAGTGAATTTCTTAAGACACAAAATGGCATTGACATAATGACTGCGGGGTTCAAGTTAAATCTGTGTAGTTTAAATTTGAGGGTGTGTTAAACTATAAGGCCGGCAATATTACATTTTTTTATTGTCAACAAATCCCAACCAACAAAGTGTTGAGTGTCTGTGGCACTCAAATAGCCAGCCAGCAGTTTCAATTTCGTTAAATACTGCATGATTTCCTAAAAAATGCTGAAGTAAAACCAGTAAAAATAAACCACTGTACCTATCTTCATCATAATGAGGAAACATGTCACATAGTGCAATTATCTGATGGATTGCCATGAATAAAAAAAATCTCTGGTCCCCAGAGGACAAAGTGTCTTATCTACCACCATCATCAGGTTTAAATTTCAATCAGTCAAGTACTTTGGTTTATGGCCAAATACTAATAATATTCTCATCAGCCTCAACTTATAATACTTATACTTTGTATTCAGTACTAATTAACAATTATCAGCATGCGAACAATTTAAACAGTGATGATAAAAACTAAGATGGTGAATATGATAAACATCAGAGTAATGCTGCTGTGAGCATGTTAGCATACTGACATTAGCATTTAGCAAACAGCATTGCTGTCCCTAATGCCGGCTAATGTGAGGCCTCCATACTTGGTCTTCTGTATAAGTAATTACCAAGTTAGCTATATCAGAGCTTTCAGAAAAAATCTGAGTTTCTTTGTAACAAATTATGACCCGGACTTGAATGCTATTTACAAGTCAGAAGTACAGCCTCACAGAGCTGCGAGCATGACTGTAGACCAAAATGGAGGTCCACAGTTTGTCATAGGAATTAGCTATATCAGGCTTTCGGTCCACTTGCAACTCTTGTAGAGGGATAAATTAACTGATGATTTTGTCTTTTTGTGGGATATTTTGACAATACAAAAAAATATAAATGTATCATCACCAGCCTTTTTCTTCAAGACACATCAGAGGAATAGCAAAGAGCATTGTCCTGTATTGTTCACAGTCTTCAATTCTAGGATGTTGACTATCTTTGAACCTAATTGCTATTCTGTCATTTAAGCGTTAATATAAGAGTACACTCAAATATGAATAAATGACTATGGAAACACTCTTAAACTTTAATTTTGATAAAATTATAAAAACCCTGGTCTGATCTACAGGATAGGATACCTACAGATCAGTATGCAGACCTTTGCATTGACTATCAGAATTTGGTGGAAACCACAGCTGCCATTTCAGTGTAATGGTATTGTCCTGTACAGATCAGGGATGATTTGGATAAAGTAGAAATGATGTATGTACACAAAGTGGACTCTTCTTCCTTAGTCCTTTAGTTTACACTTTGGTGTCAGTCAGCTCCGGAATCCCTGGTACTCCTTTCTTAACAGTTAAAGAGAGGCTTTGTAGCTTTGGGTGAATACCCAAATACCCTTCACAGAGCCTGCCTCAAGGCTCAGCCCATGTGTAAACTGTCCAGCTTAGTCCCTTCTCAGCTGTCATCATGGACAGGGTGCTGCCTCAACAGGAAAGGTCTTCTATGAGCAGGAATATCGTTCTTGTACTCATTGGCGTAGATAGCCACTTTTCCAATGTCGTCTACTCTGCTCATGGGGCTGTAATCCATAGAGACCCCAGAGTCTGCCACTGCCATGTAGGTGTACCCTGGGCCTTTGGGCATCCAGATGTGGTTTGGGTACTCAAAGCTGGACTGTGATGAAAGGCGTCCCGATCCGGAGCTCTGCTGCACTGATCCGAGGTCAGAGTGAGATTCACACAAAGCTTTCTTTCTGGAGGCAAAAAGCACCTCAAGGGGTAAGGCCTCCTCGAGAATGTCATCCAGATGTTCGTCCTCGCTGCGGTTGTTGGCATTGAGGGTGACATAGGCGTCTTGAGACTCCAGCAGAGAGGACTGGGAGGAGGGAACAGGGTTCTGGTGGAGGGCCCGTAAGCGGTCCATCAGCCAGTGGTCATGTGGTGTGGCTCTCCATCTATCTGTCAGAACTGAACCCCCTCTTTCCAACGTCTCTCTCTCACTGAGCCCTTTCTTTACAGTCCTGTCCTCCTTCCTGTCTGCAGTCAAAGCTCTAGAGGTCTTTGGCAGCAGAGGTGGGGAAGGCGGTGTGGGGCAAAGGCTGAGCTCTGACAGGACCTCCAGGCGAGAGGGGAATTCTTCTGAGTCGTAGAAAGCTGGGGTCAACCATAAACCTCCGTTGGTGTGCCCTAACCACTCCTGCACAACAATATAACAAAGGATTATGAAAACTTTCCTGACTTTTCCTGTAATGCAGGGAGGCTGACATTTGTGGTATTGATTGAAATGTCTTGACAACTATTGGATAGATTGCCATGATAAGGATGAATTGTAAGGTCAGTGTCCAGTTCTTTAGTTTCTAACTACAAAAATGTTGGCATGCTAACATGCTAAACTAAGACGGTCAACAAAGTGGTAAAAATTATATCTGCTAGACATCAGCATGCTATCATTTTCATTGTGAGCATGCAGTGTGCTGACTTTAGCAATTATCACAAATGTGAGTATTAGGCCTGGTGCCTAATTACAGAACTCAGGCCCTAGCAAGGCTGTACCTGTGTCTTGTTCTTACCTTAAAGTCCCCACCATAAACAGTAAAAAGGCCTTGAAACTTGCTGTCAGGAGTTGGAATAGTCGGCCAAATCTTGTTTACAAGAAACCTGAAAAGAGCACAGATTGAGATCTACATTTCATCTTTTTCCATTAATCAGAACTATAAGCTGATTCTGACATATGCATAGTGTATAAGTTATGTGTTCTTGGTTGACTGACCTGCGATGTGACAGGAGCATAGCGAGAGACAGCCCAATGAGGACAAAAGAGATGATGAGAGTCAGGGACATGATGAGTAGATCGAGTTCTAGAGGAAGCACAGAACAATCACAAAACAGTAAGCAAAATAAATAAAACCAATGCATACTGGATCTTCTCATGTGACACATGTTTGTATTGCATAGGTGAATGAATATTCACCTGCAGGCAGTGTTTCCATGAACTCCGGCTCACTCCAGGCACTCCAATAGCCGTTGTAACTAATGCCATCCAGCTTTACACGGACTCGCACCTTGTACTTTGTACCTGGCTGCAGGCCCCTCAGGATCAACTCGGAGCTGGCTCGTGCCACCTCTACCTGCAAAACAGTCCTCAACTCATCAGTATGGGTTCCTATTTGCACCAACCATTCAGAAAAACCTACTGCTTAAAGCTTTATCCAACCTCTGACATATCAGTGAGGTCATGCAGGACATTAAAATAACCGTCATACCTGCCCCACGTGGTTGTCTGCTGCACTGTAGCTGACCTCGTACATCATGCTGTCATCCATGTACTTGAGAGGGGGAGGCACCCAGCTAACATTCAGCTGGCCTTGCTGACCCGTGCTGCTCACTGTCACGTTAGCCGGCGGGTTCAGAAGAACTGCAGTGCAGACGGACAAAAGGCAGCTTGTTAGGGAAGACTTTGAGGGAGGGAAGTCGAGGAAAATAACCAAAAAACCACTGACATATTGACACCTTTTCAGCTGTTGTTTACACATCCAGCAGAAACGTAAACATTAACATTCATTTCTGGAGATTTTTGTGTCCACCTGATGAAAATAAATCCAATATTCACTCTCATATTAGCTCTGTTTTTTGGTCTCCACCTGAGGTTAATATCTGGCTTAGCTGCTAAATGCTCCTCTATGTTTTTCATCTAGTTGCTAAATTTATCTATCTATTGGGCAGGTGCTTGACAGGTAGCGTGCAGTAGGTATTTAGAGCTTTTTCTCTGGAATAGTTGCCTGTTGTGGCAGAAAAAAATATTGATGTGAGCAGTGAGACATAAGCCGTAAAACCAAAACAATAGACTTAAAGGTGATAAAGCTGAGTGGAACTGCAGATTCAGGTGATAATCAATAGATTTGTCAACGATTATCAATATAAGAATAGAAATTATAGCAGCTTTAAAAAAGGTTATTGGGAATTTTAGAGGAAGGAGTCGCACTTCTCTAACTGTACTGTTTAGTGGAATGTGAAGGCACAGTTTGCGGTAAACAACTTACAGACAAGCTCGATGAGAAGGCTGCGATTGTGGATGAGCACTCCCTCTCGATGAACTTGTATGTCCATTTGGACAAACATCTGGGTTCGGTTCAGATGGCAGATGAACAGCCTCTTCCCACCTGCTGCAGGGACGGTTCTCAGTGGGCACCTGCTGCTGTTTTCATTTCTGCTCGGGACAGAGGAAGACAGAATCACTGCAGTTGAAGAGCGAGGGAATTTTTTTCTTTGAATGAGTTTACTAAGAATTCGGACATAGGACTATGCTGAATGGTACTATTTTTTACGTATCTAGACTAAAATATTGGTCTTTTATTTAAATATCAGGCTCCTAAAAGTCTGTAAAAATTGCTTTTAACCATTAACTTACTTTTTTAATAATTGTAGTTTATGAACCATTAAATAGTTTCATTTATAGCATATTGGTTGCAATAGAGAAAAGAAAGACAAAGAAGAACTCAGTATATGAATTTCAGCGTTAAACAACTGTATATCGACCATAGTGGACACCCCACGTGTTGTTATGTCTCACATTGAATGTGACTTACTGGTAGGTGTATGTGAAGGAGTACTGGTCCACAGAGCCTGCCCTCTCTTCATCTTCCTCCCAGAAGCACGTGAAGTCTTTCCTGCCTTCAGCAAAGCACTTTGGGTTTTCTGGCTCTTCTTTCAGCATCATAGACACTAAGGAGGTAACAGACAATTGTAAGCAACCGAAAACCCCTTTGCTTGCTTAGATATGCTGTTATCTTAGATATGAAATCCAATCCAAATGATCTGAGGTTATTCTTAAATCTGTCCAACTTTTCAACAAAAGTTTCGGTTTTGCTGTCACTACAGGTAACAAGAGAAAATGTTTCTATCTTACCTTTTTTCTCGAAGTCTCGTGCGCCCTGGACGATGGAAGGTGTTTGCATGGCGCAGAATATCACGTAAAGTGCCAACAGTCGGCTCGGGTGATGGCATATCATCCTTTTGTCTTCTCTGTAAACAGAAAGACTTTTCGTCTTCTGTTGTCCGCATGCATAACTGGAAAACAACCTGTCTCCAACGCGTCCGCTGCTGGTCTCGTCGGGGGAGGTTTGTTTTTTGTTTAGATACCATTGATAGCGCAACGTGGTTACGCGCCTGCTTGTGAGCGATAAGGTGTTTAGAGCCGAGCTGTTTACTTTCTTCCAAAGTCAGTGTAAGAGAGGTGGGGCAAGATCAGTCTCACAACACGTTTTACTCTCTTGGTGATGGGCGGGAATCACGCGCTCATTGATGTTTACGACTTGTTTCTGCTGCTGTGGTGAGAGAGGAAGTGGACCTTTGACTGGTGCCGTGCGTAATAGCGCACAGACCATAAGTCTAAGTCTAAGATAGACAGACAGACAGACAGACAGACAGATAGATAGATAGACAGATAGACAGATAGATAGATAGATAGATAGATAGATAGATAGATAGATAGAGTTGTCTCTGGGAAACGGTAAAAGCAACATAAAAAAATGAATACAAAGAATCTATTTATTTATGGGTGTGTCCTGAGCACCTGTCTAGTGAGCGAACTGCGGCTGAAGCAGACCCCTTTCAGTATCTGAGGAGTTGGGGCTCTGCTGCTAGCTGGTCCCCGGCCAACTTAATCCCTGCATGTGCCCAAGTAACGGAAACCGCAGAGTGCTCACACACCTCAGAAGCAGACCTAAACGGTTTCTTATCTACTGGCTGCACTCACGTTTTCTTCGTTCGACCAGAATTATCAGAGCTGCAGACGCCCCTGTTTCTTCACCCATGATAAGTAGTCTGGGGGGGCGTAGTGGCCCATCCCCGTCAGTTTAAATGCAATTAAGCGCTTTTTTACATCACACGAAAGGGGAAAAGACAGTTTGATCCCAGTGAAGTGGGCACTGATGGAAAGAAAAGCTGCGTTTGGTTCACATGACTGCAATCAGCTACAGATGAAGATACCTTTGCTCTTAAATTTCAGTTTAGTGAATAAATGACTCCAGATAAGTTCCGTTTGAAAGAATTTAGAGGCCCTGCACACGGAGGGTAATGTGTCTTACTGACCATGGTGGCAGGAAGACGAGGATGAGGAAATCTGTATTGTTGTGGAGGACAATGGCAGAGTGTGGTTTCTCTGGTTCTTCAGATAAAACGTGGAAAAAAAGGCCCTGGCCTTATGTTTTGGGGTTAGGAAGCATGGTTATAAATTGCACTTTAGATGCTTCTGTCACCACAAACTCTACATTGTTGTCATGTTGTACCATTGGACACTTGAAGGAACTGAAGACATCGATTGGCAATTACTCAACCCCTTTTGTAATTAATATATTCTTTATTTTCATATACACATTTCAACACGTTCAATTTATTTTTGTTTATAAGATGCATTTTTCCCCACAATGCTTCCATTCAACACATTCAGAGCCTAAAATAAAACAGGATCAAATAATCTTATCTTCCCTCTTTTAAAACGCAGTCAATCAGAAAATGCAAGACATGAAAACAAATAGATTGTCAACATAAGAAAGAAAAGAGCACACCCCAGACCAACCACTTTGGATGCTACAGACTTATTTATACAAATATGGCAGACAGATACTGGACGAAGTGGTCAAAAATTCAATATCAGTGGACAGTTAGCAACAGTACAAGTTTAGCACATTCAATATGTATACAAACAACAGTCGCCATTGTAAGCTCCTTTAGTGAAACTATCACAGATATTATTTGCTCTCTGATGCCTCTGCATTCCATGTAAATACATTGCAGACCTGCACAGTGAATTATACACAAATGTTGTAATACAAATGTAGTGTTACGAGTCAGTGACCTTGTGCACATCCTCCTTGTTTTAAACCCCTGCATTAAAGCTCAATGTGGTAAAAACCATATCACTGTTCATCAGCACATGCTGGGAGGAGAGATAACTGACCACAGGCTTATACAATAGCAGGGAGTGAGCTGACCACCAGTTGTGACCCAACCCCTGAGCTGTGCAGAGCGACCATGGGCTTTGGCCTGGCAACACGAGGCTGCTATCATGGTGCAGAGGTTATGGATGATACTAACGGACAGTCAGTAGTTGGCACGTGGATGGTGATGGTCAAATGGCACTGTAAATAATAATTAACAGAAAGTAATAGCAAAATTACTGCCCTTTAGTACATTTTTTCCCATTCCTGCAATCCAAAGACACTTCAAATTTCTATTTCATTAATTATGACACAGCTTTCAGCAGGGGTAGTTTGACCGTTCAATAAAGAAATGTCAAAAATGGTGTAAAGGAACAGAAAAAAGCTGTGTAACGCACACTTTAACTGATAGCAAACATAACATAATGTCGAATGAAGATAAACCTCAATTCATTAACTTAAATGTCAAGACGAGATATTACAGTAATGGGATAAAGATTAAGATAAAGTGACAGAGGCTCTTTTAACTAATATTCTGCACCGGATCATTGCTTTCCTAACAGTGGCAACAGCACCGTTGAGACCTAGAGTCATCCTCCTCTGAGTTCAGTGTTGTTCCCTTTCTGAGTACACACATACACACACAGTGCTGCTCCACTAAACAGTCGTTATGTCAGTAACAAAAAAAAAAAAGGAGAATTCACCACTTTTTAAATACTCAGTTATTAAGCATAGTAGGTTTGCCATGCCAACTGTTCTGCCACGCTACAGTTGGGGGAGCAGTGTGTGTGTGTGTTGTATGTTTGGTGGTGCAAGCATGTGTGCGAGAGAAGGTGTTTCAAGAAAGAGTGGCACACAAGGGTGAGCGAGGACATACCACAAGGGAGGTCATGTGACAAATATGTGTCACCAGTGTTAAACGACTTCCTCACAGGAGCATACTTGCTCTGTGAAGAGGCTCAACTTTTACCATTAGAACAGCCGTCCAGCTGTCCCTGCATTAGTGCGCAAGAAAAGGCTTCTGAGAAGCACTGAGGGATAGAGAGGGCATCACAAGACTGCCATTTAAATTTTAAAAAGATAAGGTTCATTATGACATTCTGTTGGTTTTCTTTGTCGTCTTGATTGATGCTTTAACTTTGTAAGTGATAGATGACGAGATGTACCTCAGAATCTCGCTACAGACAAATCATCTAGGGTATCATCAGAACATGATAATGATTTCAATGCCAGAAAAAAAACACCATGAAGGCATCAGTTAATTTTTCCAAATGAACCTCATTTGACTGCACTTTACTGATATGTCCATATTTATGGAAATTTAGAGACAACAGTAATTATTAATGTATCCAACATTTGACTGAATCTGATTTAAAAATTGAGAAGACTGACACCACTCTAACGTCTGTATGGTAAATATGAAGCTACTGCCAGCAGCCGGTTAGCTTTGCGCAAAAACTGGAAACACGGCTTTAAGGGCTAGACTGGCTCTGTCCAAAGGTTAAAAAATCCTAACGTAATCCGTACAAAAAAAGTCTTTGTGCTAACCTAAGCTAACTGGCTGCTGGCTGTAGCTTTATTTGGAATACAGACATTAAAGTTTCCACAAGAAAGCATATAAGCAGATTTCCCAAAATGTCAAACTATTCCTTTAAGCCTTGCAAAGCTCAATACGCCTTTGTTTGAGACATACATCTTTTCAAGTAGGGTGCAAAAAATGCTACCACAGTCTCCTTCAATCAGTCATGAGCATGAAGCGTCCTATTGGACAAGTGCACCACTCTCCGAACTGTCGTTTTGAAAATAAATGTTCAGGAGTGACACAGTTTATGTAATTCTCCTGGCAATAAATGAGCTCATGACCCGTAGTCTGTTTTGCAAGGCTAACTGCTGTTATTGTAAAACAGTGTCTACTGTGTAAACAAAGCACATATACAGTATGAATCTTAAATAATGCCATCCAAGTACAGCCATCTACATACACTATTTGGCCTCACTAGCTTCAAGCTATCTGCACAAATACATGGCTCAGAAAAATAAAAAGCCACTGAACAAATGTTTCAGAGACAGTACATTTAAAATGCTGATGAGGCACCAGCGGTCAAGGTTATTGACAGAACACAGGACAGAACACAGAGCAGGTTTTACCAGAGAGTGGGCCTCTTTAAGGGAAAAGAGAGAAAGACAGGCCTGGGGAAGATAGGGGCCTGACAGCGCTGATGAAGATTATCTTGGCTAGCTGTCCTTTGGTTCGTGCTGCGCTGTGTGGACGAAGCAGAGCTGGGCCGTGCTGGAGTGAAGAGAGAGACGCGGCACTTTCCATGGTTGAGGCACAGAGAAGGACTTTATGGTCTTTGTGTACGAGTATCTGTATGTTTGTGTTGTGTGTGTCGTGTGTGTGTGTGTTGGGGGACTTGTTAAGAAGGCAGGTGGTTTAGCAGGCACAGCCCCCGTGGCTCTCTGGAGTTGAGTCTTTAAGGCCTTGGTTTCCGTGGTTGGATATGAGGTTGATGTCTCCCTCCATGCTCTCGTTCATCTTGTCACAGATGACATCCACTAGGCGCTCAAACACCTGCTTCACGTTGATGTTGTCCTTAGCGCTAGCCTCAAAGAACTGGAAACCTGATGGGGAACAGAACATGATTTCATTTTATTAACTATGAACAGATGCACATATTTGAATGCATTTTAAAACATACATAGATACAGTACACGCATGCATACAATATCTATCTGCAGAAGCCAACAATAAGACAAAACTGTGTGAGAGTTTTTACCGAGGTCCTCTGACAGTCGCTGGCCGTCCTCTGTGGGGACGAGCCTGTCGTCCTCCAGGTCACACTTGTTACCAACCAGGATCACCTGAGCATTGTCCCAGGAGTATGTCTTGATCTGTGTTGCCCTGTAGGACAGACAAAGTTTCACAGTCAGCATGATAAAGATTAAAAATGGGGCGGGAAAAAAAAGGAGCTGTAAAGCTATATAGAATCCAATAAATGAGACAGAAATGGACATGGCTGATATAAATAAGTGCACCTCACACATAAGCAAAAGTGCTAATTCAACTAAATGACAAATGGACATAACACATGATCTCTTGTGTTCATGTTAATAGACCAAGCTGTTTAAAAATGTCCAACTCACCAGTCCTGAACTGCACTGAAGGAGTCTTGGTTAGTGATGTCATACATGAGCAGGAAGCCCATGGCTCCTCTGTAGTAGGCTGTGGTGATGGTGCGGTAGCGCTCTTGCCCCGCTGTATCCTGTATTTACAAAAACACAAAAATGTACTATACTATACTGGGTCCACTTAATATTCATTTATTATAATATTTAAGTCTATAAAACAAACAAATCCTTAATTCACCTGTGATGATCCAATATATGATTTGAAACCACAAGGGGGCAATATTGTCCAAACTATGCCACGTTGCTGTAATACTTTTCACAAGTCAGCTCTGAGTTGACAATGTCACAATATATGAGGGGTGGATCCATCATTTAGCAGTTAGAGTGAGTGGTCTATGCTATTTACCCCTTCACACAACACTTTTAGCTAACTGTTTAGACTTCTGTTTGCTTTCTAACCAGTTTTCACATGTTCTTTCAGCATGTAGTGTTCAGATGTTATAGCTGACCCAATATGTGATTTTAAAAAAAATCTTGTATCGTAAAATAGTTACAATGTAAATTCTTTCCATCTTCCCCCTGGCAACTGCAGTAGTACCCGTTGGGGTAACTACCCCTGAGTTTACCATAACATTTGCTTGTTCATGATGACAAGCTTTTTAATAAGTAAATTGAGTTACTAAAGGCATTTTCAAATTAAATTCAAGTTAGGTTTAATTTGTAGGAGCTTTAAAAAAAAAAAGTGAAAAAGATGGATCATGTGAACAGGAAAATAAGACTGCACTCTGGAAGGAGAGAAAGGTTTCACAAAGTACTTCATTACCACATCAAAGTGCCACTTGCTCGACGCAATCTACCAAAAGATGGCTTTTAGATGTGAGCTCCCGCAACAATCATTCCTCATCAAACCAGGACTTCTGGCTTGAATCAGTAACCAGCCAGCAAGAAGAAACACATAGATAACAGAAAGAGCGTCACAGAGTCAGAGGAGGACTGGCCAACGTGCGGTGTTACCTCCCAGCCACACTGAGTTTATCAGAGGCATCTTCTAATTAAATGGAGTCTATGTGTGATGTCACAGTCGACGGCTCAAAATACTTTGCTGGATGCTGAAAGCAGAAAGATCAAACAGGTAGACTGAGTTAGTGGAGCAACTCCCCTCCATTCTCACGGTTACTTGGTAACCTGTCTGAGTCCTTCATTTGCATCGGGGGGCCTATGTGTGTGTGTTTGATGTTTTCCTCAGTAAGAGGAGGAGGAGGAGGAGTGTGGGTTGTCTAGGTAACCTGAGGCCATTCAGGGTTATGAATGTTCCATTACAGCCAGGACTGCTCCGGGTGGTCGGCCCAAATCATCCTTCTAACTTTACAAAATGGGCAGGACAGAGGGCAATCAGAGACAGCAGAAAAAAAAACATTACCCCCTTGCTATATTCTTTTATTATTTCCAATGCCACAGTCAGAGTCTGCTTTCTGTCAGGGTTTATTTTTGTTTTATTAAAGTGTGATATATTCCAGGTCCATCTTTATCTCATCCATGCAGAGATAAACAAATATTTGGCTGCGTAATGGGATGTCTAACCAAATAGAGAGTCTCCAGGGTTGCTATAGTCAACCCCAGCCAGTAAACAAAAGCTGCTCCCTCATGTGTACATGTATGATGATAGATAGGGAGGGGTTTAAATCAGGCCTCTGACGTCACTGGGACCCTGATCTTTAAACATGCGTCACCTATGTTTCTATTAGCAGCCAACACAAAGCAGTGGCACACACAGGATATCGTCCCCTGGACTACCGCACACAACATATGTGTGGAAGTGTTTTCTGCTAAGTGTGCAAAAGGTGTGTGTGTTTGTTCAAAGATCAGAAACATATTTCCATGGCACAAAAAGGAGGGATGTAAACAATGTGTGTACACAGCGTGAATACATTGTACATGAATGCTTTAGCTCTGCGTATTACTGAGCAAGGGCCATGTGGCAGGGTTATCAGGCTAGCCTGTTTCCATGATACACAAAGGGAGGCTAGCAGCTGGCAGAGTGGAATCATCAGCAATACTCTTTGTCCAAGGACCTGGTGAAATCTCTTACAGATGGTGTTCAGCGGGAGCTAACATGAATTTAACAGCCAGGAAATTTCACAGAGTTGATTATTAACACCACACGAGGGAGGACTCGTATTAAGACTTGCCTGCTGGCCCCACGCCCTTTAAATACACTGCCACTCTAGCGCTGAAGTAGATCTTTGTTGTGTCTCTGTCAGATGCTGATAGGGAACTTCCTCTGCTTCCTGAGCATAGGAAATACCAGGTCTCTTTATCATTCAACCGCACCACCAGTTGTTACATTAGGGCAAAGCAGGCACACAATATGCCCACCTTCTCAAAACCCAACTTACCACACAATTACCCAACACATATTATAGAGTCATTAATTCAACTGCCCCACCTCCTTAGCTGTTACAGTATTACACACCACTATAACTTGCATGTCACTTAATAGAGACACATGTTTGGTCAGGTAGGTGAGTGTGTGTTTTGGTGTGGGCTCCTCTGCTGCTGATTCATCTTTCATCCGTTTGGGTATCATACAGTGGCTCGCACATTGTTGGTTCAAATGAATCATCTGTTTGAACAGCCTTAACAATGTATATCAATAGGATCTGTAGTGTACTGGGAGGACTGTGTAGGTGGTGGAGAAAATGTAAGGATACAACTGATAATAAAATGTAAAATCCCTGCAATGAGAACCAGGGTTAAATGTTTTACTGAAAACAGTCACAGGTGTTGATCCGGCTCATATTGATGTTTACAGCTAGCAGTATCCCCATTTCCAGTCTTTAGGCTAAACGAACCAGCTGCTAGCTCTAATTTAATATTTACCACACAGACCTGAGAGCGGTATCAATCTTTTCACATAACTTGCGGTAAGAAAGCAATAAGCGCATTACCTAAAATGTCAAACTATTTCCTCTATGTGTTTTGTTGCACTTATGTAAAGTTGGCATATTGAAAAGAGAATAGACAGAATCAAAACAGCAGAGGTTGAGGTATCCTGACGGTTTGTTCCTAGTTTGGGTAAAACTGTTATATTTTTCATCACTTTCTTGTCTTTGAAACTGACATCCTTGGTTTGTAAAGGTTTATAAAAGTTTTTTTCTTCACAACTTCACAAAGCTCCTTTCACAGCCCCTGAAGACATTAAACGACTGCTTTCACTGACTTTATAATACCCCTCATGAGGAAACTGACTTTTATGAGTAGAATTGCTGGAGTTTCACTTTTAACAGTGATGGCTGAAACTCCAACTTGCTACTTGGTACTCACATTATTGTGAAGCTGCCTTTTAAATTTTGAGTTACAGAAACTGCTGCGTGACTTGCTGCAGCGTTGCTCAAAAAAGCCACAAGCTCATGAAATGTGCCGTTGACAAATTCTCAAAACATGTCCTAAACACAAATGAAAAACTGAATTAGCAAAGAGGAACTGTGGTCTCATGCAGACACATCAACACTAACTAGCAAAAAACAAAGCAAATTTCATCTTCAAAAAATGGCTGAATCAAAACCTGAAGGTCTGAACAAAGCAAACTATTATCTAAATCCACAAATCACAAATTTAAAGCAGTCATAATCAATATTTTAACATTAACAATAAATCAAATTACTATGTATAATCTGAAGGTGTTCATTTGTAGTGACAAACCCATAAGCATTTTTACAATTCTAATCAGCTTTATGTAATTTTTTTGCATCCTACAGCACTTCATTTTGGTTTTATGGTCTGCAACTTTACTGTCTTTTGTTCAATCTTACTGCCCCTAAAGTATAATTTTCAGCCACAGCAGGCAGCGAAAATGTTCTTAAAACCCACCGTACACTGCTGAATCTGTCCAGAAAACAGCAGACAGACAAAGTTAGCATCCCACTGACCGCTGCTGAACACAGTGGAACATTTAGCACCTACAGAGCCAGATATATCCCTCAGGATTAAGTGGAGAAAGAGACCAAGACACGACTCCAAATAAATGCTAATGTTGCTACTCTCTGATGGATGTGTAAATATCATGTATACTAATACATTGGCCCTTTAAAAGGTGATAATGCATCAGTGTTTTGTTCTCAAGCTAATTTGCGCTGCCCCCAAGTGGCCAAAAAAGTCAGCTATTGCTGATTTAATGAAAGGCAAAATACCCCCAGATCTGAGTTATAATATTAATAATAATAATATTGACCTCCAACTGGGCTTTTTAGCATCAGTTACTAATATTCGTCTCGTTGTTCGATGTGAACACTTAAGTACGCTTAAGATAGGCAGGGAGTAAGAATGTGCATGAAACCATGAGGAAGTCATGCTTTTTACACTTGCACAATTGTTGCACAGTTGCCAGACCCACAATTCTAGACAAACCTGCTCTTTAAAAAGGTCTTCTGGTCAGACTCTCGAAGTTGCCTGAAAGGGACTTCTTGGTGTCAACAAGCATTCCACATGGGCTAACTTTCATTTTCTTTATCCCCATTTTTCTTTTTTTCTAAAGCAAAAAAATGGAGCACCCACTTTCTTTAACAAGAGCAATTTAAATGCCCATGGAGCTTGAGTGTAGAATAAATAGAGAAAGGCAATGAACTTTACAATAAATAAGAATGATTAGCTGTGGCTGTAGTTTGGCAGCCAAAACCTGTTGTTTCTGCTGTCTGTTTACCCATTACAAGTGACAGTGTGGAAATGTAATGTAATACCACAAATAAAACTGCAATTTATCACATCTTTAATTCGCTCACCCATATCTGCAACTTGATCCTCTTGTCATTGCGGAAGACAGTCTTGACTTTAAAGTCGATGCCCACGGTGCTGACAAAGGCAGAGGTGAAGGAGTCATCTGCGTAGCGGAACAGGAAGGATGTTTTTCCCACGCTGCTGTTGCCAATAATAAGCAGCTTGAACATATAGTCAAAGTTCTGGTCAGCCGCATCCTTCTGGGAGGGCTGCTGCTGGAGCCGAGAGTCATTTGATGCCATCTAGAGAGGAATAAGAAGAGAAAACCAATCTCAAAAGCAAACCTAACGTGCAGCATTTGGTGGAAACTTTTAACCAAGTCAGTGGCTGAACATGTCTGACACTGGTTAGTGTCAACTGGGGCAGCAACTTAAGATTAAACTAACTAACTAAGTTTTAGTAACTGTTTTAGAAGATTTTGCCAGGAATCATTGCATGTAAACTATTAATTAAAAAATTAAACAAGATCTGTAGGGCAGGGCATCAGTTTATTATAATGATGTTACGTCATACTTTTTATCTTCATCAAAATATTGCAGCTTCTGTGGTTTGTGTGTTTTGCAATAGGCCATATTGAGATTTTGATAATATTTCCATTTATTTCGCAGCCCTTATTCCTGCCTGCAGTTTCTTGGATAAACAGTTTGTGGGTGCAACCCTAAGTAGTATAGCGTGGCGTAGGGTAAACGCATGTTTGTGATGTTGTATTGATTGTCAAAAACAGTTTATTTTTTATGTTTAAACTGCTAGATAGCAGTGTTGTTGGATGTTACAGGAACTGTGACAAATAGAAATCTAGATCCCACGGTTTTGGTTGCATAAAAAAAAAAATTGTTTTATGAGTTTTCCTAAAAGTTGATAAAAAAAATTGCAATATATTGCATTGCTTACAGTATTGCAATAAACCGCCCCTGTATCTTGATGCATATCATATCGCCAGATTCTTGCCAATACACAGTTCTACAAAGTATAATTCCTGCTTGAGCGTTTCAGTACTAGAATCAACAATGCTCAACTCATTGGAAAATAACAGAAGTTACAAAGTGCAGTCGACTGAATCAAAGCTTGGCCAGACAGACATTAGTGAAACCCATCTGTGATCAATGTGATCCTGTTACGACTCCATTAAAAGCTTTGTAATCAATATGAAAAAAGAAAAAAGTGAGATAAAATTCGGAATTTATGGGCGTTTTTTAAATTATGGGAAGCTATGCCATCTGTCAGCCTGCTTCATTGTAACCATTAATCTCAGAGTAATCTCTCCTGAGGGCAGGTATGAGATTACCTGCCATTAAGCCTTGTAGGGTCGGCCATTCAAACAGCAGGAGAAGGGAGAGCAACCGCACAGCTTCACACAGCTTTGGGTGTGAAAAAGGAGAGTGGAGGGGCTAGTCCCTCCGAGCCCACACACAGCTGATCAATCAGTGTGGCTTAGCTCTGCCTCTCTCTGCTGAGACTCGTCTCTGTGGAGACGGGACTAGGACTCAGCTGCCAGCAAGACCCATTAGTGGTCAAAGCAGTCAGTTCCCTCAGCTTTTAGCTTGCCAGATGGAGGTCTCCAGAGCAGGATAGAGATATCTATCACACTACTACGAAGGGCTGTGGAAAAATAAGAGGAGAGGAGAAGAAGCTCATTACTGAGGAACTGGCAAAATTGTTTACTGTGTACACACTTGTGCTCCCAATAATCACAGGCCAGGGTATAAAAGGACATGTTCCTCACTTGTATACTGATAACTTGGTATACAGCTGTGTGTCTATTAAAAACAACTGATGTTACAAGACTGCATGAGTAAGTACCCACCACTTACCCCAACACAATTACTGAATGAATTATTGATATGCACTACAAAAAATGCTGTCCAATGAAAACAGTACAACTCTGAGACTTATTGAAAGAGTCCAAACCTCTGAACTGGTAGGAGGGCTGTCCCGCTTTGAAATCGCCAACACATGAGGCAGACTTTCTACACATACCAGCATTTGCAATCTGCCTAGTGGTCAAGTCAAGACTCCCAAGAGTTTCTAATTCCTCGCAACGTCGGCTGTGAAATCCTGAATCACATGATGCCTGTGCTCTATAAGGGTCTCTGGGGGGGACATTTTTTGGTTAGATCCCATAGCATAGATCCACCCACTCAACAATGTATATTATTTTCTAACTTCAACTTTCCCATCAGCTGAGCTTAAGCCTGAGGTAATACCAGTCACATGTCCCTCATGTTGACTGTGCAGCTCAGGGTGCCTACAGGCCATTTCTTAAATGGTATTCCCCTTGTTAACATGTTATATAATTCACTAGACTTTCATAGTGTTTTCTTGTTGCTGTGTGGTGTTGCTTAATTCTGTGGCGTCAAGTTCCCTCTGAATATGTAAATAACTTCCAAGAAACACACAATACTAATTCAAAGCAACACAACTCACTGTGATGAGAAAGTCTTTTACCCTTCACATGTTGAAGATGTCTGTAAAGCAACACTGGACAAAATAAACAGAATGACTGAGCAGCTGTGATGACTGTGATAAGGTGGCACCCACATCAGCACCTGCCCTGATATCAGGACAGTCAGGCATCCTCCATGTAGAAAGGATAGCCATTGGAGCTGCAGCACGGATGAGAATGGGAGCTACTTTATGGCACACTGGAGCAGCATTATCTCCAGTAAAACAAATAAAGGTCATTACGGTAAATGGGGCCTTGTGATGGTGCAGCCAGGTCCCTCAGCTGGCACTGTTTGCTGAGCCAGGAGCCAGCAGCCTGCCCGACCCGCAGGAAATGACCACTATTGATTAGCTGGCAGCTGTCACATCAGTTCTTTCATTAGCGGGGAGGACTGAAACGCAAACATAGATGGGAGATAAAGGCTAGGAGGATTAGTTTTATTCCAAATAGCCTTAGTTTATGCAACAATACCGTGACGAGCAAACACAGATCTGGTCGTACCCAAATATTAGGTATCATTCCGCGGGGATAAACCTGTTGGCCTAAATTAAGAGGGAACAAGTTACTTTGAGTGAATGGCTGGGGCGAGAGGGCTTGTGGGCAGGAAAACCAGCTGGACTCATAAACTTAAACAAACTTACCTTTTTGCGGAAGAAAGCGAACGTCCAACTCGGTTCCCTTTCGACTCTCTGTCAGTGATAGGCGGCTGTCTTCCGTCCCCGGCGGTGAGATGCCGGGTAAAGTAGCCCACGAAAGTAGAGCTAACACCTTAAATACCCTCTTCTGCTCCAGCACCAGCACCAGCACCGGGACCTGTTTTCCCTCCTCTACAGGATACTTAGTTCCTTTTTCTCGGTCCGCGGTCCTTCAGCGGCTCCCGGATCTTGAACTGAGTGTTTAAAGCGGACACTGGAGCTGCAGCTCCTTCTGAGACAGAGTTAATGCGGACTACTGAGGCAGCCGGTGTCAGCTCTGAAGCTGGAGCAGTCCACACCGCTCGAGGAGAGGGCTGGCGACCGTGCCTGCGCACGTGAACGCGCGCACACACCCTGGAGAAACCACACGAGTGGGTTTGTGTTATCTCTGAGGACATCTATAAGGACAACAAGTGTGTGTGCTGTTAAGTTTAAAACAGTCATATATATATATATTCATATACAGTATTATCGCTGTGGTGTTTTGCTGGGGAGTTGCAGTTGTATTTTTCCTTTACTATGTTTATATAACATTTTATTATAGAGTTTAAAAGGCTTTATTTTAGCTTAGTAAATACTATTTTTGTCTTCTGTGGTATCATTCCTTTAATATCCTTATCAGCAAGGCAGGATCAACCTGTTGGTGGTCAGCTGTGGAGCCCTACTGACCCCCCATCCCCCTCTCTGTGTTTATGTACACTGTTGTTGTTGTAATAGATCATAAAAGGAGGCACAGAGTTTTCAAATTTAATGAATAAGAGAGCACTGGTATCAGATACTCTGTATTAGAAGATATCCTGAGTTTATGTACCAGAAGTGGTACCAGGAGAGGAAAAGTCCACTTGGTGCATCCCTTGTGTTTTCTTCTCTTTAATAATATTCCCACAAAAAAGTTGGCATCCCCTCCAGACATGTATTAATACCGTATATAAAAATAATCTGCTTTAAACAATATTGTGCGTCTGATATATTTCTTTCTGCAAAAAAGTATAATTTCCACATTCAAACTTAAAAAAGAATCTACTCCTTCTACCTCATTAAAAATGACAGCATCTGTGAATATGCAGATTTTGTTCATTTCTAAAGTTTTCCTGCTCGGCACAAGATATCTCCTACTTCACTATAGAGTCCATTCTCAGTGTAGGTTCACTGGTGGCTTCAAGTTTCTACATCACACATAAAATTTGCACATCATTCTGCACAGTGGAAATCAAACATCCAACTGTAAGAACAAGAAGTAAAACATATTTTTGAGTGGAGGGGGACTTTAAAATATAGAGTATGCAGTACTCAGTTGTGACTTATAGTATTTATCTCTCCTAAATCATTTTCAGATACAATCTCCTGTGGAATCAGTGAATTTATGATGGTCCTTCTCATGAGGTTTGATAGTTTTGTTCTTTTTTTGGTAAACGCAGCACAAAGGTTGGCAATTACTCATTGTAAAGCAGAGGGTGTGTGTGTGTGTGTGTGTGTGTGTGTGTGTGTGTGTGTGAGTGACTATGGTTAATGTTTGTATCAAACTGAGCAGACTAATACTTTGATAAATTGTACAATCTGTTAGGATCTGTGTTTTTTTTCTGCACAGGTTTAATCCATCACTGAGACCAGACAATTGCAAATTAGGTCTACATTTCTACATTAGAGATGATTGAATAAAACTGCTCGAGACTCCCAGACTCATAATTAATTTAACACACCATATTACTGGAGGGCTGCTCTGTAGTATATTACTGAAGTTCCAAATAATGGTCCCTGAACCAGCATTCATATACAGTATAATCTCTGTGGTGATTTGTTAGGAAGCTGCATAACATTTTATAGGAACTTTTTAGCTTAGTACTATTTTTGTCTCCTATGGTATCATCCCTTTAATATCACTATCAACAATAACACAAGCAATTTAACACACCATATAGCTGGAGGGCTGCTCTGCAGTATATTAATGAAGTATTACTGGTCCAGGATCCAGCAGCCATCTATGTTCAGAGTGTGTGATTGCTGCAGTGACTTTCTTTCTTATACATAAACATTTCATTTCCTTGTGTGGGTCAGGAATGAGGGAGGATGGTGGAACTTGTCTGGTGCAATTCCTCAGCACTTCCTTTTGTTTCTGTACTTCCTCATGTTTTACTTTGCACAACCAGAATTGAGGAATTCTGTGTTTTTCTGAGGTTTTACCGAGGTTTTTTCACCAACAGTCCTGCTGCTGCTCAAGCTGTATGGAGGAAATGTCCGTTGAAATCTCTCTCAAGTCATGCCACGAGGAGATGAGTAGATAAACTTGTTCACTGGTTAAACAGGGTTTATTTCCTGATGCCAATGCAGCAGGCCCAGGGCATTCCCTTAGAGTTTCATAATGTGTAGGGATTCTGACTTCCTTGTACATTCTCCAAACTGAAAACGAGGCACACAGTGTCAGGAAGATACAACAAAACGTGTTCAGACTTAATTATGTCATACTGTATGTTTATTAACTAGAAAACAAGAAACAAATCTCCTTAAAATGATCACTGAATTCCTGATCACAGATGGAGGAAACATCTTTAAAAATGAAAATGAGTTGTATTTGGGATACCCTCATCCCTTTACTTTGTCCCTGCTTTATATATTAAAATGGACTCCATTACAATCCATTAGGGCTGATATTGTAGCTGGAACAACGATAGTGCCTCTCATCCTGTTGTTGGCAAGCACAACAGTGTTCTCTGCATTCAAGTCTGGTCCTCTCAAAACCTGATGTGCGTCACTGGTAATTAAATTAAAACCTGCCTACTCCAAATCCAGCCACTGTCTGTTGGGTCTGGATTCACTGATCAGTCTGAATACATTAAAGGGCAATTTCTTTCCAAGTGTTTAGTTTAAGAGCATAAAGGTCATGAGGAGACATAACAGACAGACCTGTACAGCAGTTCAGAATTTAAATTAATAATAACGGGTCCACATGTGAAGATATTAACAACTGTTTAATCTCACAATCACAGTATTAATTCAATACTGTTGACAAATTGAATGTATATTTCTTGTGTAATATCTGTAAAAACAATATTTTACAAATGAAATGCACTATGATATGCTGGAGCTACAAACTTTCTCTAAATCAGTGGTTCTCAAACTGTGAGGCGGGCCCCCCTGGTGGTGCATAGAGCCACTGCAGATGGCGCATGGATGACCAGGGGAAGAATATGGAGTCGGTCTAGACTCAGTTTAATTAATATGATATATGATGATGATTAATGTAGGGAAAATAAACAAACAAAAGTTTGCTTATGCTATCATGCTCACCTCTCTAACTTAATAATAAGTTTTGGTTCCCTTATCATTGTTAATGATTGCTAAAAATTGTGGGGTGAGGGCTGTAAAACCTTTTCCACCTTCTGAAGGTGGGCAGGCCAGAAAAAGAACCACTGCCCTAAATACACTTGTGTCCAAACATTGCCCCCTGCTGGGGATGCAAGTAAATTGTCCACACGGTACCTGAGGTTTGGTGATTGATGCAAGTTTTCTAATAAATTGTTATTCTACAGGGAGTGTGATCATGAGCAATATAATCAAATATCAAAAACAAATGCAAAAATACATCCCATTTTGTAAGACATCATTAATTACATCGTGATTGACAGGATGAAAAGTGCCAAACAGACTGATGGCAACTAAGGCATCCTCCCTCTGAAGGAAACTTGGGACAGCTGCAGCTCCACCAGCGGCTATGAAAGAGATGCAAAATATGTATAATTACATTTACATGATGTCACTTATACTTTTACTGGTGGCATATTTAGTCCATACATACAGACATAACATTTGCCACATCACATTTAATATTGCGATGACAGCAGAACTCGACAGCGAGATATTTTATAGATTAAAACCTGCTCATCTCTAAATGCTGGATAAATTCAGAGCTGTGTAGATCAAATTAGTTGTGGTGCAGATGAACCCGATCAGGTTGCAGAGGTTGGACAATCCGTGGTAGCGGCCAAATGTGCTCTTGTAGGCTCTGTATTTGGGGTCCTGCTCTTTGAGCTTAGCATAAGCCTCTTTCTGGCTGCCCAGGCCAATCTGGTCCCCCAGGCCATGCTCCTTCTCCACCTCCCTTATCTGGAACATCACTTCAGTGGCTGCTGGGCCAAACCACTTGGCGTTCAGAGCTGCCATGATCAGTGCCACAAAGTACAGAAACATCTGCAAGGCAAGAGGAGATACCTTACTGGCAAAACAACTTGGTGATGATGTACTTGCAAATATTGTGATTAAAATTAGTATTTAAAATTGTATGTGAAGGTATAATGTTTTACCTGCACACTTTCATGCCAGTCCAGCAGCTCTCTGGGGTGGTACACAGCGTACACAGCTAGGCTGACAGCATTGCTGCCAATCAGACAGTAGAAGTATACTGGGAAGAGTTTACTCTGCACCAGGCCAAATGTGTGCAGAGTTACCTGCCACACCAATGCAAAACCTGCAGGCACAGACATCAAGATCCAGAATAAAGGGTCAGAAATCTAAATATAGCTCTGAAAGACATGAATGCACATGTTGCTAACATGACTCTTCTGTTTGTGCGCCTCACACCTGCTATGAAGGAGACCCAGACCTGCATGCCCCAGGAGAAAGAGAGCACCAGAAGGTGTAGCACTTTGACCAAGTCCATGGGCTCACCCTCTGTTGCCATGGTGTCACTCTGCAAAATAAACACATTATATACACAACTAGCCTTTTTTTTTTTTTTTACGATATTGGCTTCACATCTTCCTTATTTTGGGGTAAAACTAACTATGTGTTCAACTACTAATTGCAAAATCAACCTTTTTACTTAAGTGGCAACTGTTCCCAAAATATGGAAATTACTATATTGACCAAATTATTATTACTAATTAAGGAGATATTCGGTGTCCTACATGTTATGTTACTTATGCTTGGACTGAGAGGTCTAGACCTCATATGGAGAAACTGTTGTAAAACTCAACACAGAAATCCAAATACACTCATCAGGGATTTGGGAGGAGTAGTGGTGCATAACAAGTAGTATCACTACCAATCACATGAAGAAGAAGAGCACAAGTAAATCCATTGTATTTAATCATGTTTTACTCAGGGATCAGAGACTTCAAACAGAAGTAAAGCTACAAAGTCATGCTAACAGGCAAAAGAAAAGTAATTAAATATCAACTTAAAATAAGTTGTTAAGCCTGTTTTTGAGCTGTTAAATAAACAAACTGTGTGTCAAACTGAAACAGGACTGAACAGCAGGGCCACAGACATACAGCTCTAGTGTATCTTTTCAGCCTGGTGATCCACATGTGCAGCAGACCTGATAAGTCCCCCAGAATGAGATAACAGTGCTGAGGCAGTGCACAGAAAATACATTTATATATGAGCATTCTCTAAAGCAACAACTTATCAACATGGGGTGATAAAGGTAAACACATGAAAGAGAAGCAGTGAACCAGTTCTGCCTGCCCACAGCAGGTGACTTTAGGACTGTTTGCTAACCAGCTTTAGCCTCTGAGCTAAGAGAGAGTTACACAAGTTGTATGGCGGCAACGTTACTTGCTACATTTTGCATTTTACAGTTACAGTTACTCACTACACTACACGTTACACAAAGCTGCACTTACCTTGCTTTCCTTTTCCTGTGAGTACTTATGAATGCAACAAATGCAAATGATTAGCGTTACTATGGTCCAAGGTTCAGCCGAGCCACTTCCTCTGTCATATAACTGTGAACAAGCCCCGCCCCCCGCGAAGGGACGGACCAATGGTGTTCTTTTAAAATGAATATATTATAATATTTTATCTTTTCACCCATTCATTGCGCTCTAGTGTTTTCTATCACAACCCCTCCCTTACAAACATGTTATTCCCTGCTTAACACTGTGTGTATGCTCAAGAGCAGCGTGGCAAGTGTCATTCTCCCTAATACAAATAATACAAAATAAAATTCAAGTCAGTTTGAATATTATTGACCAGGTAAATGTCTCCTTTCACAGAGCAGTGAGCCATCTTATTATACCTTCATGCTGCTGACCCACTGCCCCTTGCAGCTGAAGTTGGACCTCTTAATGTTAATTTATTATTTATAGTATTTATTTTCATTGGCTGAATCATAGGAGGAGCTTCAAGGAGGTCAGAGGACACACTAGAGCAGTGGTTCCCAGCCTTTTTCCTTAAAGGACCCCTTTTCTATCATTTCATTAACTGAAGAATCCTGCTTATGTCACATATTTTATGGATATTTCATATTATATTAAAAACTGTACCATTAACCCAAATAGTGAACTCTGTAACTGCAAGATGTTTGTGTAAATGTGATTTAGATTCATTCTGAGCAGATTATTTCCAGTTAAGTGAACATTTTATACAATTCTGTATTATGTATTTTTAATCAGTCATACATACTTAATAGGTTTCAGTGTTTTCTTGTCCCTGACACTTAATTTCCTTTACTCTACATTTACTTTTCTTCACAGAAGTGAACCAAATGCTGAGCAATAGGCCTACTGTGTGTATTTTTAAAGTTTTCTTACACCCCTTAAAATCAAGAAGTCCTCGCGACCCCCCGTGAAGCTTTGGCGAACCACTGGACTAGAGAGTCAGTATATGGTGGAAAGAGGCTTCATCAGTGTTTAAAGTGTAACTATATGACTTCTGGGTTTTTGGTGCTACAGTCTCCCTTGCTCTGGTATGACCAGTATCTTATAATGTTATAATGGTTTTAGTCATTTTTCTGACTGTGTGACTTATCTCTGCTTGTGCTTCTCTAAGACTAATTTTATTATTATCCCATAATTACCTCTTGTGGCCAGACATGCAAAAAGGATGCCCACTATAATATTTCACAGAGCTGTTAATGGTTTAAAGTTGTGAAAAGTACTCAAGTTCATAAAATAGATAATGGTGGAAACAATCAGAAATGTAGCCAGAGCAAGAACAAAGAAAATGTATTTTAATGTTGGATGTCCGTGTGTCTAGAGCTACCCATTTGAAAGTCTGACAATAGAGCGTATGTGTTTTACATGTATCTCACTCTGCAAAGTAGCTAGTGACCACAGCCATCAGATAGAAGTATAGTAAAATGACCTTTGATGGTTTACTGTAAGAATACTACACTACATTATGAGTATGTAAGAATATATAAGAGTAATCAGAAATACTCTAGTACAGTGCATTTAAATCTGTATTTACCTCTCAAAATCAGATGATCATCAAAATTCTCATCATATACTGTATGTCTGCATAATCCAACCAATCACTTAATTTACATAATGCTTATTGTGTGGAATTGAAACCACACATACCATGCTAATAACGGCTGCACCATTAAATCAAGTGAAACATTTCTGGCAATCTTAGGCTATGAACCAGTTTATACAGTTCTATCTGATCTCAGAAGTTGTATCCCGCAAAAAGTCTTCAATAAAACCACCTTGTGAAACACTGACACTCCTCTTGCACCTCATCAGTTCTCAGCAGTAGTTTCTTTGACTGCCACAGCGACAGGATTTCTACTTGAGAAGGTTTCATATGTTTCTGTGGCTCTACAGCACAGCATGAACCACACACACACACACACACACACACACACACACACACACACACACACACACTTGACTACACTCTAGCCTTGAGTTGATGTGGCTCAGACCTTTCATCACTCTTTGGGAGAATGCTTTTATCAGTGGGCTTCTGAGCCTGCTGCTACCTAATCAGCCTAACCATGAGTAATTATCTGAGATGATTTTTCAGTAAATTACAGCTGCCATTTTCCAGTCCTCCAAAGCCATCCAAATGGGATTTATCTTAATTCTACTTTTCTGAGGCAGGTTGGAAACCTGCTTGCCAGCACCACAATATAGCAGAAGTGGTAATTCTGGTTAACTGATCTCTTGGTAAGTGCTTCATTCAGCACCTTACCACACCTGTGCCAGGATTGTGCGGATATTTTTGGTTAAAGATAAGCCAAGTCAGAAAAGTGGAAATATTTGCATACGGTGAAGGTTTTGCTCGGCTGCAGCTGTTGTCAATAAAATAGAACCCATGGAAACACATCAAATGAGGAGCTCGTGAATCACTAGTGTGAATTTCAGTGTGTTCATGTGTCTACATCAGAGGCTAGACCACAGTTTCTGCAAATGACTGGTTAAAAGAAATTGTGGTTAATAAGTAAAAATCAAAAAGAGAGAGCCTCATTTCAGAATCAGAATCAGGTTCATTACATTCACATACAAGGAATTTGCCTTGGTAAATTGGTTCATTACAATAAACATAGAGAAATATAAATACAGATAAAAATAGAGACGATATATATAAATATAAAAAGTGACACAATATATATAATATAACCCTTATTTAATGGTTAATGCACATTCTGTCGACACTATGGTTAAGAATTCATTTTCAAACCTCTTAATAAATCAAAATAAATAAATTAAAAGTATTCCATCAGTTTCCATCAGTCTTTTTATGTCTATTTTTGTATCTTTTGTGGAGCACAATATATTTAATCTCTTTGTCTGAAATGTGCTCTATAATACCTGTCTATACATCTTTTTTGTTTGGTTCAGGTTTTATGATTTGGAGGATGTCATGTTTGCACCATCACTGGAGGAGGGAGTTACTCAGAAAACGAGCTCCACTATTGGATATATCCGGCTGTCAGTCAACACTTTTAAGCCAATCACAGATCGAACTAACTAACCAATCAGAAGCGGCCCCAGAGAGATGCTGTATCCGGATCCATACACACAGCATCCTCCGCTGGCTGTAAGAAGACATCCCTTTGGTAAGACAGACAACAGTCGCCTCATTACGCAGATGCTAAATAATACAACCCATAACAGATGAAACACGCTCTTCGGTTTTGTGTTTTACCTTAAAAGTCGTTTATTAAACGAATTGTTTTTAATCTCATACCACAGGCTAGCAGCTGTTAGCGTGTTAGCTTGCTAGCGTGTAGCGGTAGCCTTTTGGCGCTTAAGTGCAAGTGTTTGTGTGATCCTGCTCGGCTCTCGTTGAGCTGTTTGGATGAAATTGCAGCTGCAGGCTGAGAATGGGATTTTGTGATATAAATTAGAGACACGTTAATTACTATCGACTAGAAAAAGGTATAATGTTATCATAGGATTATATTTTAATTGATTGTGATTTTACCTGCCTGTGAGGTGAGCGGTGATTGGGCCAATGATGATGAACAGTAACATGTGAATTATTGTCTTCTATCTAAACATGACATGGTTAACACAAGGGGTTAGTTGTGTATGTGGTGGCTTTTAACAGTTTAAGTTGTTCAGTAGGTGAATGTGGATGCAAAGTTACTAAAAGTCAATGAAAAACTTTCTGCTATTAAAAACTTTGTCATCTCTGTGTAAGAGAGTTTTAAAGGCAATTGAGTGTCAAAGTGTCTGGTAATGTCCATGAGAACTTTATTATTATATTATATATATTTATTTTTTCTCTGCAGATACACAACATTACAAATGGGGCGCAGAAAGTCAAAGAGGAAGCCCCCTCCCAAGAAAAAGATGACGGGTAACCTGGACGTCCAGTTCACTTGCCCCTTCTGTAACCATGAGAAATCCTGCGATGTCAAAATGTAAGTAACTGAGAATGCTTTAGAAATGCAGAGAAATGCATCATGAACAACATCAATAAAAATACTAACTTTTCCAGGGAGCGAACCCGCAACACAGGGATTATTTCGTGCAGTGTTTGCTTGGAGGAGTTCCAGACTCCTATAACCTGTATCCTTTTAACCAACAAAAGACTGCAGCATCATGTCTGGTCTCGTGTAATGACTTCCATCAGCCAAGGAGTTGTGTTTTTGGTCCTGTTTGACCAAAGTCTGTTTAGGTTCAAATCCACAAATTTTATAGTACATTTTTAAATATTGCAGGATGGCGTATTTGTGATAATTTTCACAACTTTCTTATGAACTACTGCCCCGACTTGAAGGGAAGAAATAATTTATGTGCATGCTATGATTGATGCATATGCAGATAAAAGATTTACACAACATTTTTGATTATTAAAATAGAAGAAAAAAAGTGGATTATTTAGCATTGGTGGAGGTAATGTATGGTGTGTGTGTGTGTGTGTGTGTGTGTGTGTGTGTGTGTGTGTGTGTGTGTGTGTGTGTGTGTGTCTTGTCTGCATTTGGAATGTCCCTTAACGTTTTATCGACAGATCTGTCCGAACCAGTGGATGTTTACAGTGATTGGATCGATGCCTGTGAAGCAGCCAATCAATAGTCATGTTTTCCTGTGACTCACCTTTTCTCTAACCTCACTCACTTACATTTCACCCCTTTGATCGGTCCCCTGAATTAGGTCCTGTTCAGCTAGCACAATGTAGCAAAACATTCACAAACGTTAGAAGCGGTATAGGTTTTTACTGTACGTATGTGACACACTTAGTCTGACTTTACTACAGTGTGGCTTGCTGAGCATGACACGCTCCTCTGGCTGGGCCAGAGGGTTACTATGTTGTTTGTCTACATCACAGTTCTCAGTGTATACTTAATCAGTATAATCAGTATAATCAGTGATTAGTTTATGATTAATGGTTTGCTTTTAAGATCAGATCATGATGTTTTCCCTTTATTTGGACAAATTTATCTTGTAAATTGTTTAAAATATCTGATTTCCACTGGTGTAAAACATTTCATGTGCTCCTTTGGTATTCTTTGTGATTTATGGATGAAGAAAATATGATAATCCTCTTTTGTTTTTTATTAGGTTGTTGCAGAGT